CACATCAAAAGGATGACTCCCCCATTGCAAGAGGTAACAACAAAGCCGACAGAGTAGCCCAGTCAGTTGCCCTATCAGAAGACACACCAGACAACAATCTGTCTGCCCTTGCAGTTTTAGCCTATCACAAGACACCCTCTGTTCCCAGGACAAAGAGTCTCTCTTCCACTTCTTACACGATCTGTTCCATCCCAGCCCCCAATCCTTGATCCATTTTTTACAATCCTTTTTTTCTCTCTCTCTCCTGAAGACAAAACCCTACTTAACCAAATCACCCGCAGGTGCACCATCTGCCAATGCACTAACCCCAATACCCCACTCAAGGCTCAACCCTTCCTGGCTCATCAAGCAAGGGGTAATGTCCCCGCCGCAGATTAGCAAATAGACTTCACTAACATGCCCCCTGTACGGCGTACCAAATACCTACTCGTGTTAGTAGATACATTTTCAAGATGGATAGAAGCTTTCCCCATCACTAACAAATGAGCATCTGCGGTTGCCTCTATCCTCCTCACCCAGATCTTTCCTAGGTTTGGGATGCCCACTTCCCTCCAATCAGATAACGGCCTTGAGTTCACTGCCCAAATTATCCAGAACCTCTCCAAGTCGCTCTCACTCCCCTGGCATTTACATTGTCCTTATCGACCACAGGCTTTGGGAAAAGTAGAAAGAACCAATAGGACTCTAAAGGACATCCTGACCAAACTATCTCAAGAACTACACCTTGACTGGATTCACTTACTTCCCTTAGCTCTACTCCACATTCGGGCCCTCCCAAAGAAACCTTCCTTCTTGTCGCCCTTTGAGATCATGTACGGTCGCCCGATTCTACCCCTGGGGCTCCCTTCTCACAAAGGACCAATTCCTCCCAATATGGCCCTTCCGCTACTCTCTCTCCTCTGCACTGAATTGTGGAAATATCAGGATTGGCTCCTTCCTGATCCATCCGCCTCCCAAAATCCTCCTGTCTTACAGCCCGGCCAACTAGTGTTTTATAAGCCACCAGAGGATCGGCCCTCTCTCACCCCGAAATGGGAAGGTCCACACCCAGTTATTCTCTGCACCCCCTCGGCCGCCAAGCTCTCACTGCCTGATAACTCTGTCACCCCTTGGATTCATATCTCCAGGTTGAAACCAAATACCCAGGACCCACCTTCTCTGGACACCCAAGACCCATCAGTCACAATCCAGAGTCCTTCGGATACAGCCCAAGACGCTGTCTACTCTACCACGCCTCATCCCTCTGATCCCTTGAAGCTCCGCATCTCCCGTGCACCCTCTTTGCCATCCATACCTGAATCATGACTTTTTCCTCCTTTACTGCTCTCTCGCTTTTTTCCCTCATTCCTATTGTCTTCCCTGCCGCCCCACCCTCCTTTGTATGGCGATTCAAAGTCAAGCAGACTTACACACAGCATCAAACAAAAGTTACTGCCCTCATTGCCACATCAGACTGCCCTCTGAAAGGCTGCTCTGAGCCTTTGTACCTCCACTTTCCTCCCTCCACTGAAGTATTCATTTACAGCTACCTTTATTCTCCCTACCTCTGCTTCCTCTATGACCAAAGACAAGCCTATTGCAGGCGATGGCCAGACACCTACGGGGGATGCCCCTACTGGTCTTGCACCATTCACTACATGGGTGACTTCCAGTACCCACAGTATTACTCCTCCAACCGTTTCATGAAATATCCCAACGGCTCATTCTCCTTATCAATCCCAGATCCCTGGGACTCTCGATGGGCTGCTGGAGTAACAGCCTCAGTTTACTACAAGGGGTCCTCGACCCCCCATGGTACCCTTCATATCTCTCGAGAGTATGTTCCCTCTCGCTCCCAGATCTCTCAAGTTGCATCAGATATCAGACATTCCGAAAAAGTCATTATCCAAACTCTTGACGGCGCCTCTTCATCTTCTTATTCCTCCTACTCTTGGTTACAGCTCATTCAAGACACCACCATCTTTCTCAACCACACCCTCAACACCGCCAATTGTTTCTTGTGCGCATCACTACAGTGCCCACTGCTGGCCGCCGTGCCCCTTAATATTTCCATGCAGAAGGACAACCCCTCCGCCCCCTGGCAGACATACCCCTGTGGGAACCAGAATACGCAGATAATCTCACCATCCACCACTGTGTAGGCCCAGCTCCACCCCCCTCCAGCGCACTTCACTGCCTCTCTATCTATACCCCTACCTCTGGCTCTAAGACTTTTACGCAACCAGGACACTTCTTTTGGTGTAATGGCAGTCTTTTCAACTCACTGCCTCCCAACTCCAATACACCCTGCATTCTCATCACCCTAATCCCACAGCTTACACTTTACAGCATGGCAGAATTTCTTGAGCTCCAACCTCCTTGCCCTCGAGCACAAAAAGGGCTGCTTTCCTTTCCATCATGGTCGGTATCTCTTTGACCACCTCAGCCATTGGGGCAGGGTTTTCGGGAGGAGCCTTGGGTCACTCTCTATGGGCAATTAGCCATCTCAACACCAAACTTGAGGGGGCCCTGACATCCACTGCCGATTCCCTGGCCTCTCTCCAAAGACAGGTCACTTCGCTAGCTAAGGTCACCCTTCAAAACCGGCGGGCCTTAGATCTGCTTACAGTCGAAAAGCGCAGCACCTGCATCTTCCTTCGAGAAGAGTGCTGCTATTACATCAACGAATCTGGCATTGTAGAAACTGACATTACCAAACTCACTGACCTTGCCTCCAGCCTCCACTCTGCTTCCAATTCCAACCCATTCTCTTCAATACTAGCAAACCCCCTCCTCTCCTAGCTCTGGCCCATTGCAGGCCCTATAATAATCATTCTTCTCACCTGTCTCTTCTTACCCTGTATAATAAAGTTCATCAAATCCCAAGTCGGAAAAATCTCTAATCAAACTTTCAACCAGCTTTTACTCAGGAACTACCAGCTTTTAGCCATATAAGATCCCTCACCCTCATGTAACCTCCTCACCACACGCTGAGATGGACCCCTCTCTCCCCTGAAAATTGTTCCTGGAAACAATGGCCGCAGACACCTGGCTTCTGGCACCCATATCCTCTTGGCACCATTAGAATCAACAAGTCCTCGACCTCTGGTTACAGGGAACCTTCATTGATTTCCAACCTGAAGAAGTCCGCATCTACTCGTCCTTACTGTGGGGAGTCCTATCAACCCTTTCCTCCCAGTCCTCAAGCCCTCACTCCCTTCTCTGCCCCCATACAGCAGGAAGCAGTCAGAGAGAAAGCAACGTCCACAACCCCATAGAGGAGAAAGGGGGGAATGAAGGGACCCCACCCATAAGATGGCGAACTCACCCCTCGCCCCACCTAATCGCAGCACCTAGCCAATAGCCACCAGCCCCGTAGAAGTGACACCTCAATCAGCTCATTCCCCTTTCTATATAACCCAGCACCTTTCCCTAATAAAGCGGAATTCTCCGGTGAATTGCTCCTGTGTGTCGCTCCTTTCCTTTCACCCAGAGCATGAGACTTGCTCGGACTCCCGTTCAAAATAACTCTGTGCAGATTTTAATAGGTGAATCCCTCCAGGCCCACCTCAAGGCAGTTGCACTTACACAGCTTGGAAACACTGCAAGCAGGTAAAGCTGGGTGCGTCTTAAAAAATCTTTTCGCGAAGTCTAACATTAAGTCGCCTAACCCTGACAGCCTTAAATGTAAAAAGCATACCAAATACTATATGGCTGCCAATGCAAGGTGATGGCGAGGCTGGGGGGAGTGCGCCCACGCCCACGAGAAAGGCCGTGCCGGGCGTACCCGCCAGGGCTCAGAGCCCGCGCGCCTGCGTGCAAGCGAGTGAGCGAGGGGGCTCGTGAGTGCCGGCGCGTGGTCTGCGCGTGCCCGGCCTTGCGTGCGGTGCAGGAGGCTGCGTGTGCGCGCTGGGCGGGAGCGTCCGCCTGCCGCCCTCCCGCATCGGAGCCGAGTAGGGCGCCCCGCGGAGCAGGTGAGTGTGAGGCGGGGCGCTGGGGCGGCCCGGGAGGCCTTGGAGAACCCTGGCTGGGGGCGGGCGGAGCCCTAGGACCAGTTCCCCGGGCTCCGCCCACTCTTTCGGCCGTGTCCCGGGGCGCGGTCCGCGTTGCAGCGAGAGCCGCCGCGCTCCGCGGCTCTAACCTCCGCGTGGAACCCTCGCCCGGCGTCGGCACGCGAGGGAGCGCGGGGCCAGCGGGGCCGTGGGCGTCGCTGACCAATATCGGGGCGCCTGGCGGGCCCGGGCCGCGGCTGCGAGGAGCACTCTGTCGCCCTGCTCGGCCCCCGGGCACAGCCCCGTCTTCCCGTCGCCAGGGTCCCTTCCGCCGCAAACTCCGGGAGCGGCCCGGGGCGCCGTGGTCCCGGCGGCGGGGGAGAAGCCGGGTTAGGTTTTTCGATGTTGGTGGATTGGCCGTAAAGCCCGGGCGAACGCATTCCTAAAGCGTTGGTGAAGGCCCGGAAACCAAACAGTGGGAGGGTTCTTCTGCGGAGGGATTAGGAGAAGAACCGTAGAACACTGGGCCAATTGGGCAGAGAGAGGAGGAAACCCCAAGGGCCAGGGCTGTATGATTGGGATTTGTGAGAGGGTTCTTAACGACCATACAAGGCTTTTTAAAAGAAATCCGAAAGGTGCAATGGAGTCTCATTTTTTCAAGCAGTGAGGAATGATACCAGCAGCAAGTATGGGTTGCATTCCATATTCCTTTCCACTCCTCACTACTAGACCAGGAGGGAAATATGCAAGGCAAAGATGTTTTTTTTTTTCCCTCTGTGTAGTTTTGTACATAGTACCAGCGTTTAGGAGGTGGCTGCTTTGTCAGGAAGAGCTGCTACCAAGGAACAAATGACCAAACCATGCCTTTTTTTTCTTCCTGTTCTCATGTCCTCTTTCAAATCTTCTCATGAAGATGTGAGTTTGCAGTCTTACCCGCAACAAGCTTGTGTTTTACCTTGCCTTCCCTCGACAGCTTTAGACAGAGGTAGGGAGTGGATTTTGTGCCCTCAGAATGTGTTGATGCCTGATAAAAGCACATCGTAACTTGTATCAGTCTAGAGAAGGGATCTATTCAATATTAAGGCAGAGGAATCTAGGACAATCTAGACTAGACGGTTCATTCAAATGAATGGTCGTTGGGTAATTGCAGCTCTGAAAATAAAGCCTGTTATTGAAACAGTACCCAATATAATTCCAGATTAGATGCATGAGAAAGTTTTAGAGCAAGGAGGAGGAAGAGAGAGAGGATCAGAACTTTTCCAAAAATGAAGAGTGTTACTATATGGTAATTTGCTCTTATAGCAGCATGCTGGTTATAGAACATTGATTTTAGATGTAATAGTGCCAGCACATTGTTATGACTCAGATACTGTTCAGTACCTCACAGCAAAACTTTAAATTAAAGCATGCAATACGGCAAACAAAAGCTTCAGCTAGTACTTTAGTCTGTTCTGAAATTCTGCAGGTAAGTTCATTTTATGTCAATTTAGAAATGATCCTATTGGTTAAAATTAACCATAATAGTCTCCTTTACAAGACTTTAAAGATCATTCCACAGCTGCAAATCTTGTATATTCTAGTATTTTTCTTTCCCCAAAGGATTTGAGGAGTTGAAAGAGTTAAGCTCTACTAAACCATTTTGGATAATGTATGTATACTTTTAAAAATTAGATTACTGTTAAAATACCATGGTCTCTTAGGAAAACTTAACTATATAAACTTAATTTGGTGGTCATATTCAACTTCAGCTGTCTTTAACCCTGAGAAGATTCTCCAGTGGATACATTCCCTCTTTGCTTTCCTTCAAGTGATTTGTCTTTTTCTGTGTGCCCAGTCTCCGGCTCTGTTCTGTCCACCACTGGATGATAGAGGTAGAATTCCATTTTAGGAAATGCCTTTATCCCATTCACAGCTATATAATGTCCAGGCCAAATATGCTTTCCTGTTGCAGCTTTAACGGCTGTCGTGGCTCATCCCTGCTCACTGTGTAGTAGGTAACCAAACTGAATAGCTTCATGAATGAAATCAAATGTGTGGGGTCAAACAGGATACCCTTACATGACATTGCACTACGTTCAAAAATTGCAGTTCATTTAACAACAGGCTTTTTCTGGCAAATATCTTTTTGGGGACTATGTTAATAGTTTTGTTTTAGTAAAAAGTTGTATATTATAAATTTTGATTTTGCTTTTGGCACATTGTGAATTAGAGGAGAAGGTGAGTGTGTGATCTAGAAACATGGTGATTTGTAGGGGATACATCACAGTGAGAGGAGCATGAAGCCACAAAACATGTAGGGTGGGGCCCTGAGGTTGCAGAATGGAAGATTTGACTAGGTAAATAAATTGCACCCCTTGAAGCTCTGAGAAATTATTAAATAAAAACCAGAAAGCTAAAGAGCAGTATCAGTTTCCCATTTTATGTATGTCTGACCCTGAATATTTTCCAGGAAGTCAAAGTCTTTTGTTGTCCTCACAGCATCCATAGCCTAGATTAACACTTACCAGCTCTGCCTACCCTCTAGGAGCTATTTCATGTAGAGTTCATGTTACCAGCTCTAGCTCTAGGATGCCCTTCTCAGTAGCATGGCCCTGTGGGGGTTATGAGGAAACATTGAGAAGAGAGATCTTAGGAGATTTTGTTGATGTTCTAAGGTGTGCTGTTTCATGGGACTGGAACAAAACTTGCAGACTAGCAGCCTGTTTTGTAAATAAAGTTTTATTGGAGTACAGTCACACCTGTATGTTTAATGTTGTCTATAGCTCATTTTTGCTGCAAAGACAGAAATTGAGTAGCTGGGATAGAGATATATGGCCCAAGTATTTGCTCTCTGGCTTTTTATTAAAAAAAAAAAAGTTGCCCACTTCTGGGCTAGAATGTAGATTTCTAGTAAACCCCTGATCTGTGCACCTTGAACAAGCTCTCTCCCGTCAGAACAAAAAAGCAACACTCACTGCTCCTACTGAAACATGTCGTTAAGTCTGCAGCCACTTACCACCAGCGCGACAGGGCTCAAACTGCCTCTTATCCAGAACTATGTTTGCTTACTATATTGGTAATAGATTTTGTTTTCAAAGATGGAGTTTGTCACTTTCTAAGAGGAAAAATTATTATCAACTCTTATCTCTTTGTATTAAATAGTCCTTTCTCTAAACTGACAGAAGTTCTATAATTTATGCTTTTATTGAGCACCCTGCATGGATGCTGACCACAAGTTTGGAGACGTTTGAGCTCGAAGGTCTCCCTTCATCCCCTCCAGGTGGGCTTTATGCATAACTTGGAGTCATGAACCTTCATCCATGCTTTGCCTGTGACACCAGCTTGCAGGTGAGGCTTGTGTCTCCTTCCCCATTGCAGCCCCAGCCTGTCAAATGAATTAGGCTCAATTAACAGAAATGACAAAAGTCTGTAATATTCCTAATCTAGGGCAACAATGGAAGAAATACTAACTAGAGCAGTTTCCCCTGTTCTCTTCCTCCAGTGGGTAAAACTGTTTATAACAAAACAGAGACCAGAAGCCCAGCTTTCAAGTCAGCCTTCCTGCTGTTTCTACCTGTTAGGATCTTTGCTGTGCTCCGGTTTCCTAGCTTCTCTGGACCTGGCCATCCTGTTGCCTCTTCCCACAGGCTGTTCTGTCACGTTATTCTCGCCGACTGCCTGCCCCTGAAAGCAGAGGTGCGTCCATTTTTGCTTTACTCTTGGCTTCCTGCCCAGGAATCTCAAGGGACAGTGGGATTGGCTGTGACGTTGGGTTCTTCTGCGGACACAGTGCTCTAGGAGCACAGCATTTGGAATTGGGCCTGAGTTTGGGTTTCAGGTGTGCCTGTAGCTGGTCTCTGAAAAGTGGGATGGTAACACCCATCTTACTGAGTTTGTGAAAAATGCTTTGCAAATTGCTATAAAAGTGATATAAACTTAAGCCCAAAAGTGCACTTTCCCTTAAAAAAAAAATACCCTGCTTAAAATTCTAGCATGTATTACAAACTACAAAGAGTGGGTTTTTGTTGTTATTGTTGGATGCTAGTATGAAAAGAGCAGGAACAAAAAGAAAATGGGAACTGAATTTTCCTCCTCAGGTCTTGTTGCTTTTGGATGCTCCTCGTTTTTCCTTAACTCAAAAACCCTGTACGTTTCAAACCCAGAAACCTGTAAAACATTTCTGTACGTTATTCTTACAAGAAAGTACTTTGTTTGCAAAAAGTATAATAATAATGTATTTTTAAAATATGTTTTGAAAAAGCCAGTTGTCTTCTACCCCAACACACTGAGGGAAGAGGCTTCCATTTTAATGAGACTAGGGTGTAAAGCATCCTCCCAAGTGTCTGAGCAGAGCCAGCAGTGGGGCTCGGGCAGAACTGGGAATAAATGGTAAGAGTGTTAGGTATATACACATTGCCTACTTAAAACTGTATAAGAGAGTTGTGGTTAATTTGGAATTTTTCTTAAATTCAGTGAATGCTTCCAATTCATTCTTAAAAATTGAACAATTTAAAAATGCAAAATGAAACCTTTTCTGTATACTACATTTTAAACATATGAATAACAGTCATGGAGTCTTGGAGTTGGAAGGGACCTTAGAAGTTACCTAGAATAACTTCAAACTGTAAGGGTTTAAGCTCCATAATCTTCCTGCCATCCACTTGAATATTTCCTTTGATGAAGAGCAGCCCATTCTGTATTGAACCTTTGTACTAATTTTTATCTTTGGGCTTCCATTTGCCTCAGGAGTTACACTAATACATTGTTCAAAATATTTGAAAATATCTGTCTAGTTCTTCTAAGCTTTTTTTTTCCTAGAACAGAACGTTCCCCAGTTCCTTCAACCACTACTTCATGTAATCCTTATAGGAGATGATAAACTGAACTGTTAACCAACTGGGTTATCCTTCTCTGAATTCAATCTTAACTTGTTGATGATCCTTTTAAAATGGAACATGTATGGGCTGTGGGATTATGACCCCTTTTGCCAGCCTTTTTTTTTTCTTAAACCCATGAGTGTATTAGAGTTTGTAGTGTATGTGTATTGGGGAGTGGGAGCACATTATACAGTTGACTCTTGAACAACACAGGTTTGAACTGTGTGGGTCCACTTACCTGTGGTTTTTTTTTTCCAATAAATATATTAGAAAATTTTTTTTTCTAGATAATTATTTTTTATGGAAGGGTAGTTGACACACAGTATTACATTAGTTTCAAGTATACAACATAGTGATTCAACATTTATATACATGATAATTCTAGGTACCAGCTATCACCATACCAAGTTGTTACAATATTTTGACTATATTCCTTATGCTATACATTACATCCCGGTTACTTATTTATTTTACAATTGGAAGTGTGTACTTTTTTTTTTAGGGCATTTCTCCTATTTATTGATCAAATGGTTGTTAACAACAATAAAATTCTGTATAGGG